GAATCTTCTCCATGATGAAAATACAAATCAGAAACATTGAATGTAGGATGTATGCCTAAGTGCGGCGATAGGTGAATTTTGTATGCATTATCCCCAATTTTCTTAAGGATTTTGTAGGGTACAATTTTCCCAGTTGGAAATCGCTCTTTCGTAGATAGACCACAACAATATACATTCTTTGAAACTTTGATCTCTGTTCTTTTTATCTGTTGGAAACTTTCGTAGATAGTCATGTTGCTTTTTTGGATTGCGCATTAATAGGCAAAAAAATCAAGTGGCTTTCGTCCAGTTGCTATCAAGGAGGTGAAGATGAAGCTAGGGTTTTGAAGCAATTGGGGCGTCGGGTCAGCTTGTGAGGTTGAACCGACCCGACCCGACCCACAATTATTTTAAATTTATTTTATTCGACCCGACCCGAATTTATCCCTAAACCAACCCGACCCGTTTCGGGTTGGGTCGGGTCGATTTTTCGGGCTGTGGTTTTCAAGTCCAGTCCTAGGTGGGACTAAGGGAAAATTAACAATTCAGATAAATATAATGCGAGTATTGTATTGGATAAAAAGCATCCTCATCCATTTTAACATGCTCAAAGGGTAAACTTTCATATGGTTAAATAAAAACAATTAGGCCGTGTTTGATAGGCCGTGTTTTTTGGGAAAGTAGGAAAATATTTTCCACTTTCCACTTTTTTGGCTGTTTGATAGGCGAAATTTTTCACGGAAAATATTCTCCGAATTTTCCTCACACGTGTGCATTTTCCCGATTTTTGATGAAAATATTTTCCCGCCTTTTTGGTGGGAAAATATTTTCCCTGTTGGTTGGAATTTTTTTCTTTTTTTGTAATGGAAACAAATGCCATAACCAATGGTAAAAAAAAAAATTTCACTTTAATTGACACTTTTCATGTAAAACAAAATCAAACGAACACTAAACTTTGATGAAAAAAATGATTTTTTAGGAAACAAATTTTTTTCCCTTTTTTTTACTTTTTGGCAATGGAAACAAATTTTATAACCAATTGTGAAAAAAAATATAACTTTAATGGACAATTTTCATGTAAAATAAAGCCAAACGAATAGAACATTTAAAAATTTTCAGGGTGGAAAATTATACCAATCAAACACACTTGAAATCATTTTCCCTACAAAACATTTTCTAGACAAATCTTACAAACACATTTGAAATCATTTTCCCTGCAAAACATGTTTTAGACAAATCTTTTCCCTGTAAAATATTTTATTTCCACCCATTTTCCACCCTTACAATCAAACACACCCTTAAGATTGTGCTTGAAAATCACAGCCCGAAAAATCGACCGACCCAACCCGAAACGGGGTCGGGTTGGTTTAGGAATAAATTCGGTCTCGTCGAATAAAATAAATTTAAAATAATTGTGGGTCGAGGGTCGGTTCAACCTCACAAATCGACCCACCCGCCCAATTGCTTCAAAAACCTAGCTTCATCTTCATCTCCTTGATAGCAGCTGGATGAAAGCCATTTGATTTTTTCACCTATTAATACGCAATCCAAGAAAGCAACAAATGTGTAAATCAGCTTTCTCCTTCAATTGGTCATTCTTCTTTCTTTTATTCCCATTCTGTGTCACATTTGAACCTCTCATTTCTTTGTTCAGCATACCAGTTGCCGTATCCTCACTATTTTCATCTCCTATTTTCTGTGCTTTGTCCTCATCTATCTCGTCTTTAAGTAATTTATGTGGCCTTCCCCTTCCCTTCTATGCAGGATTTTTCTCATCCTTGCAACTCCCAGGATCATCCTGGTTAGTTACAGATAATTTCTCTTCCCCTTTGCTCTACCTTGACCCATAATCTTATACCCCGATGAAAATCAAACAAAATTGAATTGTAATTCAATACCAGTAAGGAGGATGAGATGGAAAATTGCGTTTTTTTGGGTGCAACTGTGAATTGCATTTTTTTAGTTGCAGATGGTTTCTTCACTTGGGTTCTTTCTTGGGCTTCACAGACTTAGCCGGTGGACCCGAACTGACCAGATTCGGGTTGGGTCGGTTCAGGGTAGGAGCCGGGCTGGGCCGAGTCAATTTTTGGCCAAACTTGACCCGACCCATTGCCTACCCCTAGTCCCACCGTATTAAATTAACCACCACATGAAATAGGTCAAGATTAAATTATTCGTTACTCATAATTGATGTCGTGAATGATAGGGAATACGTGAATTGGATTGAAATGATAAATAAGTAAATTTACGTATAAGTAAATAAGTGGATTTCAAAAGAAATGTTATTTTATTTGTTAATAAAATTAAATATAAGTAACTTATTTTTGACGATAACGTTACAGTTACTTTTAGTAAAGAACATAGAAGGTTACTTTACTTTTAAGTTATTAAGTAAATTTATCAAACTTAATAATAAGCAATTTGCCTATTTTGATTGTCACATAGGAGTTACTATTGAAAAGTAACTTTTACTTGTAAGTAAATTTAAATAATATTTTTCATTAATCAAAATTAAAAAACAATAAGTTCTTTATTTTGGCGCAATGAAAGAGTTAAAAAGAAGTAAGTTGTAAAAGAAATAACTTTTTTATTAATCAAAATTAGTTACTTAATTTGATAGTAATTTAGAGGTATTTCAGTAAATTAATGTTTAGGTATGTTAAATAAGTAAGTTTTAATATAAATAGCTTCTTTAAAATTCAAATTGGGAATAAATAAGTCAATTATCTTAATAATAACTTTTTTTTTAGTTATAGGTAAATAACTTATCCTATATGTTTTTAGATTAAAAGAAAAATTACTCAAGAGTGAACAAGAAATTTTAAAATAAACAATCATTTTTATTAACAAAAGTTAAAAATAATCAAGTCACTTATTTTGACACAACCATAAGAGTTTACTTTTTAAAACTAGTTTTTACCTAAAAATTAGAGAAAATTAAACAAAAAGTTACTTAAAAGTAACTTAACTACCTGTAATTTTTGCCAAAAATAAGTATTTTATATTTGGCTTATTAGTACAAAATATCCATACGTTTAACCTTTAGTGTGCAAAACGTGCATACGTTTTAATTTTTTGCATTTTCACATTTATTTCAATGTTTCATTGTAGAAAACTTCCTTCTATCCACCTGTTGTGAGTTTTATCATTAAATGCACACATGAATTCACTTTTAATTTAAAATTTTAAGGGTAAAATTGTTAGACCACTTCAAAAACTTCTTCTTCCCCATAAAACGCACGGTTCATCTTCCATCTTCTCTACTCTTCATGTCTTGCGCACACTCATTTTCTTCATCCTCTTCTCCTATCATCTAAAATTTTTCCTCTCATAATGGGCCTTTGTACGCAGTGGAGGGCGAACTCAGAGAATGTAATATTTCACTGTGGGTCCGTTATTTTTTATTTTATAGTTCGAAATTTCAAGCTTTGAGTGATCGAGGCTTCCTTGCTATTTTTAATGGAATATATTATTTTTTACAGGATTTTGTGGCGAATCAAAATGCTTCCTCTGCTTATTAGAGAGTTCGGCAACGAGACACCCACATACGGTACGAACACTGTCAATTCATGATCATTGTTTTCCCCTTGTTAATTTTGATGTAAATTTGGTTCACTAGTATGATGATGATTTTTTTGTTCAATATATTCTGTTGTTGTTTTAAATTTGTAGTTTGATTAGTATGTCGAGTTGCCATGGTTGATTAGTGTTTTGAGTTGCTGTGGTTGATTAGTGTCTTGAGTTGCTGTGGTTGATTAGTGTCTTGAGTTGCTGTAGTTGATTAGTGTTTTCAGTTGTCGTGGTTGATTACATTCATTTTGCTGCTGTGAATGGAAGGAATGCTTATAGGATATAATAGAGACAATTTTCATAGAAATCTGAAACGCAATGATGTTATGCGTGAAATTTGTCAAAACGTATGGACGTTTTACACATTAATCTTTGAAACATTAGGATGTTTTAAGCGAAACATTTTGTAACGTATGGATTTTTTCACATGTTCGAATTCCGAGAAAACAGATTGAGAGCTTCAGTTTTTGATGCAGAGTTCTGAGATTGAGATTTGTGATCTTGAATATTGGTTTGCTGCAGATTGTAGTGGAGATGAGAGCATGTGTAGAAGTCAAAATTTGATTTTCGAAAATGTGTCAGCCATGTTGATGATGACCAATGGATTTTCGAAAATGCATTAGACGTGGTGATGATGATGATGAACACTGTGGACCTTAGCAATTTTGTTTGATTAATCTTTTTCTTTTTCTTTTTCGAGAATTACCTGTTTATGACAAGGAAAAAGAGGTTTATGAAGTGAACTGACCATTTTACCTTCAAGTTTCAAATTAGAAGTGAGTCCAAGCGTGCATTTAACAATAAAACTCACAGTAGATGGACGAAAAGACTTTCACAATGAATGTTGAAATAAGGATGAAAATGCAAAAAATAGAAACGTATGGACGTTTTGCACACTAAAAATTAAATGTATGGACGTTTTGTGCTAACAAGCCTTTATATTTCTAGTAGTGTAGTACCAAAGAAGCAAGAGATACTAAAAAGCAATTGATTTATTGCCTTAGCTTCTATAAAAGTAATCCAAACACTAAATTAAAACAATATATAAAAATGGTATCTCTTCTAATTGTATCACGTGTTCCATACGAAACACCAAACACGCACCTTAACATACGGCTCGTGTGCTAGACAATGATATGGGTCACATATTTACATATAAATTGATCTTTGCTGAAAACACAACGAGAATTAGATTCTTCTTCTTACATAGGATTTAAAAACAAATAAATTCAGCTGCCAGATATTCATCTTCCATACTAGAACTGAACTGTGAAAAACCTATATTGCCATTTCCACCTTTGTGAACCTCCTCTATTCCCAACATGCCTGGAAAAATGGCTTCTCTTTTTTATCAAACCGATGAAATTAAACAGCTACACATATACTGCAAAAGACCCCATTTCCCATAAATGGGTAAACCTGAACAACATTATCCTCCTCGAGTTCAAACACTACCGAAGAGGTTGGGGTGGCGGGGCCACGTCTCCAGCTGCAGCATGTCTCCTTTGCCGCTCACGAAAGTAAAGGATAGTCAGCAGGCAGACAAAGAGTGTTAGAATTGTTGCATTTCCTTCCTCCATAATAACATCCTTCACCCAAGCCTCCACTTTAGGAAAAACTTCAGGAAGTGCATCAATCATATTGATCTAAAAGGCAAAAAGTGAACCAATTCAGTCAACACATCAATCAGGGAAGTTAGAAAAAAAAAAAAAAAGAGCATGAAAACTAAAATATATGTTATTTAGTATATCTTGCTAGAATTAAATGAACTCATGCAATAAAGTACACGGGGGCCACACAAAATAGAGGAAATAAAGATCAAGAATCTTTAAACACAACACACAAAGGGGAAACTAGCTTGACCAAGTCTTCACACAGTAGAGACTAGGAAAGGAGGATGGTTTAAATAGAAGGGCAAACTTTTATGTGGTCCACCAAACTACAGATCTGAGTGAAGAAAAACAAGACATTGTTCTCAGTTTCATAATCCAAACAGTGCAAGATATTCCTTGCATGAATAACGTGATGTGCAATGACATTAGTTTCAGCACAGACAGGAAATGAAGATCATAAAAAATTCAGGACTCCATTTGTCAAGTGCTAAAATTCAAATGTTTTGACATGCCATTGCAACATTCAGTCTCAAAGAGTGGTTTCCAAATTAATAAAAAAGAGCCATCTATAAAAATTGGTCAATCAATGAGTCTGGAACCAGAAACACATTTCTAAAGGAATAAATTTACCGATCATAGAATTAAACATCATATTATTGCCCTGCTTTTAAAAATCTCAAGTAAACAAGATACCACATTTGCCTGGTTGCTTCAGTTCCAATTGAACAAGAAAGTGAGCAATAGGTCAACAAACATACTACTCACCATGAAACTGTTGGCATAGTTCTTCCGCATCCACAAACTTGCAAGGGCTAGTGTTACAGGCAACTTAGCTGTAGGATCAACTTCTAAGGCATGATCATAGTAACGCTTCGCAAGGTGAAGATCAAATGGTAGTCCAAGCCCGTGCTCATGCATGTATCCCAGGTTGAAGATGGCCTGAGCATTTGACTGAGATTTGGCAAGCATATAAGCCTCTGCTGCACGAACATAATCTCGTACTGTACCCTGTGAAATAAAAAGATGAAGGAAGATAAAAATCTTGTAAAATGGTTCAATAGGCATGGTCTAGAAATGAATTTAGTACATTAACCAAGGATTGAGCACATGAAGTCAAGTGCAAAACCTATATATCTGTTAAAAAAATTAAAAGAAAAAAATACCCGGCCATAGTAATATGCATCCCCTATAAGCAAAGCAGCATGTTCGTTACCCTGCTCAGAAGCTTGCCACCATAAGGCGTGAGCACGCCGATGTCTTTCTGCATCTGTGCACATTCCTGACTCTCCCATGCACATACCATGTTCTCCATATTTGTCAAGGATCCATGCTGAGTTACTTTGTGCCACCTCATACCCCATCTCTGCCATTCTAGAGTACAAAAGGAATGACATGCTGACATCACCTTTCAGATATGACTCTATTGCCCATCTAGACAAGGAACTCCATGGTCCACGCTCAGCAACTATTTTGTATAATTTAATTGCCTGCAATTAATACATGAACATTACTAGGTGCCCAAAATTGATTGGTTTTGAATACAGGTGTAAAGTGGACTGAGGTCTTCCGGCCCGGAAAGGCACGGTACACCAGCCTCTGGAAAAGACCCAAAAGATTTGCTGTGCTGGCAGGCCAAGGTTCTGAGGTTCAAGAAAATATTTTGGCATTTTTGGATTTATTCTCTCTATACTGATATAGTTTTAGAAAAAAGGTTTCCTTTTCTAAATACTACTGTAAAATTTGAATAAACGTTTCCGTTGGTCTTGGCCAGCACTGGCTGAAATGTGGGTTGTGCAGGTTGACACCTAGTTTAGAAACCCTTAATTCGGTGGGTAAAAAAGGTTAAAGACCAGAGTTTAGGAAGAAAGAAAACTATACACGCTCGTGAGAAGGATATCAGAGAATATTACATAACATCTAACGAGGATGCAATACAATTTTTGCGGAGTTGTGCGAATACAGAACATACTTAAACAGCCTGGAAATCTAAGGGTAGGTTTGGTTATCTGTTTTCAAGAGTCTAGGAAGAAAGAAAACTACACACGCTTGTGAGAAGGATATCAGAGAATATTACATAACAATGCGTTACAATTTTTGCGAAGTCGTGCAAATACAGAACATACTTAAAATATCAAAAAGGGTACGTTTGGTTAGCTGTTTTCAAGCTATTTTTAGTTTTCAATTTTGCAAAACATTGAAAACATTTTTGGTCTTCTGAAAATGCATTTTCGAAAAACAAGGATAAACTAATAACATAAAACTCAAAATGTATTTTTGACTTTTTAGTGAAAATTCTGAAAATACTCAAAATATAGAAAACAAGTGTTTAAATAAAATTTTATTTACATAAATTTTAAAAATTAGAAATTTTTAAAAATAAAAATATAAAATTCTAAAAAATAATATTTAAATTTTTTTTTTTGAAAAATAAAATTCAAGAAAAATAAATTTAAATAATAAAATTGACAAATTCTAGAAAAAAATAAATTAAAAAAATAAATTCTAAAATTTCGAAAAAGTACAAAATTCTAAAAATAAAAAAATAAAAATTTTAAGCAAACAAAATTATAAAAATTTCTAGAAAAATAAAAATAGTTCAAGTTCTTAATGATTATTTATATAATAATAATTAAATAAATACAAATAAAAATATTTTCAATTCATGTAATTAATTTTTTTATATTTCCTATATTTTGAACTCAATGTATTATTTATTTTTATTTTAGTTTTGTAGCAAGAAAAAATATTGTAACATTCACTAACTTTAAAATGTAAATATTATTTGATAAAATATTAACATAAAATTGTTCTGTTTTTATTGAATAATCAAATTTCATAGAATAAAATGTCATGAAACAATTTTCAAAATTTCAAAACAAACATATTTTCTAATTTTCTGTTTTGGTAAATAGTTTTTCAAAATGACAAACCAAACGAATTTTCAGCAATCTTAATAGACCCTCAAAACAGAAAACTGAAAATGAACTCAAAATTGAAACACAAACCAAAGGGTCCTAAAGCTTTCTGAAAGATAAGCTATATTCAAGTAAGAGACAAATTGGATAACACTTAAAATTGGGTGAATGAGAAGACTCAAAAGTTAGCTTACCACTGGAAGATTCTTCTTCATCCCCACACCAGTATGTAACATCTTTGCCAATTGGTAGAAAGCTTTTGGTTGGCCAGCTTTAACAGCCGTCAATATATATTTGCGTGCTATCTTCAAATCCTGCTTCACGCCAAGGCCCTTGAGATAAATTACCCCAAGATTGTAGAAACCACCTGGTTCTTTCTTGTCAGCAGCCTTCTCAAAATATTCTTTGGCCTGTAACAGCGGAGTTATGATTGACTTGAGTGATAGAAAACATTTCTTTACAGCTTAGACATAGCTACAGAATGTAGAATGAGTTGATTGTTAAGATATAAGATCTGGGCAGGGAAGGGTAAAGGAAAAACAATTTCTTGTCTCAACAAGGAAAAGAAGGAACAGTGAGAATATATAAAAAATATGCACAGAAAGCAAACATGGCCAAACAAAGAAGCAGCAGACGGTCATTAAAATCACAACTTCCCTTAGTGCCTCCTCCCCAACCCCCCCCCCCCCCCACCCACAAAAAAAAGTGATGACCTTTACCTTCGTATAGTTCTTTTCCACTCCGTAACCCTTGACATATAAATATCCCATCCCATTGTAAGCTGAATAAAGTTTTTGTTCAGAAGCAAGGGTAAGCCATTCTAGCGCCTTTGTGTAGTTCTTCTCAAATCCCACTCCGCTTGCATATATCTCTCCAAGAAGTTCCATTGACCTAGGTTCACCCTTTTCCGCAGCCTTTGAGAACCAACTCGATGCCTTTTCATGATTACACCTTAGTCCCCTCAAACCAAAGTAGTAAAATATTCCGACTTGATACATGGCTTCTGCATTCCCTTTCTGTGCCTGATATTCCAAAATCTGAAAGTCCTCATCCTCCTCTCCTTTGGACTTCCTTAGAGCTTCCTTATTTTCCTCTGGACCGTTATGGATCCTAATTGTTTCAATGGTTGAGTCCTTCGAGATAGGAAAACTATTCACTGCTACCTCTGCCAATTCAGCATACAGCTTAACTGCTTTATCGTGCATCTGCAGAATAAATTAAAAAAAAAAAGGAAAACCCATAAAAATTTATTATCATCTTTGGAGAAGTATGTACAAATTTATGTTATAATAGTCTCAGAAAGATTTTCATTCTATAGTTCAGTGCTTATGACCCAAAATGCAGTCATTTATCATAAATTTGTGCAGTGAAGATGTCTTTATTGTTCATGATATTACTTGAGACTTGAGAGTATAGGAGAGAGAGAAACCAATACAACCTCATTTTCTATCTATTTTTCCTGAGACGTGCCCAGAAATTGAGGTTCAAAAGGCAAACAAGTGAATGAGCAGGTGCTCAGGATGATGTGTTAGTATGGATGGACAGAGATCAGATAGCTTTTCTTACAGACTACATATATAAAAGCATTTCCCACTATTTCCTCAAGCATTTGATATGCCTAAAGTTAGTGACTAATAGTTCGAAACTCTTAAGTCCCTTATGATTGATATGAAAGTGTAAAACTAGATTAACCGAGTGTATTTTTTCATAAAAGGAAAAAGATGATTATTCTATTGAAAAGAAAACGTATATCTAAAGTCAATTTTTGAATTATTTCTACTGCCATCATACAATCTTTATTTATCACTAAAAACTTCCTTTCAACGGATAATATTTGTATTTTAAAATCATAGAACTAAAGCAGCGAAAACATAGTTTAAAGTAAATTTTTTTCTCATAAATCCTATTTAGGCAATATTTTTCCATCCATGTAATTTACTAAGTACTGCTATTTGCTAAAGCTGTTATCAGGAAGCATATTCTTACACAACCATGGATGGATAGATAGATAAAAAGAAAATACAAACCTTTATGAATATCTGGCTATAACAGAAATAGAAAATAACTTCTCGATGAGGACCCAAGAAAATCAAATGACAACTAGGCATTTGTATATATGCATTATCAATCAAAAATTAGGAAACATAGAAAACTTCTTGTTTGGGACTGATATTAGGAAACAAATGGCTTGTAATCAATTGCACGCCTTGGTGATGTGTGGAATATAATTCAGGCAACAAGAACTTGAATTTCAATTACTAAATTTACTTTGTTTTACATCAATTTAAAGCAGCTAAATAAAGGTGCCACATATCAAATCAATAAGAGAAATCTCCTTTGGAGATCATATAATTTATATTACCGCTTCTTATTCAACTTGGAGACATCAATGCCAGCATAACATCCAGAATCTCAGTCAGCTTCAAATTAAGTGTTTTTAACACAACCTAGTAGTATTGTAGTTTCAATAATAAATGTCCAAGGTTTTTGACAAATAATTCTGGATTAATTGTTAACATAGGTATTCCACCCATAACAAAATATTCACACGCCCTGAGTGGAAGTAAGTTAATCTATCAGCAAAGATGATCACCTATAGAGGTTTCGTATACAATTTTTAGTAATTCAAATTTTCCTAAAAACATTTTAACATGCTACAATCTTTTACCATTCGTCCGTCATAAATCATAATGTGATCAATGATCATAGTTCCCCAACCCCAGAAAACCATATTAAGAATTGTATTGGCTAGACGGAAAACCCCATAACTCTCAACAGTTGTGACAAATACCAGAATTTTCAGTCTTCAAATGCCTAGCTTTCCAACGACAGAATTCATAACCTTTCAGTGAAGGCTAGACTCTTCACACATAAAAAACTATCAACTTTCCTTGAACACACTAGCTCTAGACCGAAAAGGACACAAAAGGCTTCACCACACACAATCCTGAGGTTTTTAACACATCCCATAACATGAAGGCATCAAATTCATATAACCGTGTCACTTTTTGTCCATACCCAAGCGTTCCCAAAAGACCACCAATTCATAATCTTCCAGTTGCTGCACCTTCCATATCATCATTTATTCGACCTCGAAGATCAAAATTTCTCAATTGAATAGTAGCAATACAAAACCTATTACTCGTATCCTTCTATCTATCAATTAATCAATCGACCAATATCAACTTTAAAACTTACCTCCTGACGATAATAAGTATAGGCCAGTGCCATCTTGGACTGCAAATTCCCACCCTCAGCTGCAAAAGAATGATACAAAAACGCCTTGGCTTGGCTCAACTCCCTGGTCATTCCCATGTTATACCAAAACCCAATCACCGACTGCGCGTGGGGATGCCCCGCCGCAGCAGCCGCCTCAATCTCAGACACGGCCTCCTCCATCACCCTGTATCCCCCACCACTCCCCACCTCCAACATCTTCCTCAGCGCCTCACAATAAGCCCCGTCATAATCTTTATTATCCTCGTTATTGATTATGCTGGTACCATTGACACAAGCCGGGGATTCGAAGATGTCGGACCATGAACCCGGGTCGACGACCGAGCCGGGTTCGGGTCCGGAGTCGTTGAATTCATCGGAATCGGAGTATGAGCCATCGGCGTCATCTGGGGCTGAAATGGCGTCAGAGAGATCGTCCAAGGGGAGGACGAGGACCATTGAACGGGCACATATGGTAATGGGATGAACGGCGATAAGTAAAAAAACAAAGAACAGCTTCATCGTCTGAATTTTCCAATTAGCCGGCGGCAGACTCAGTTCATTCTTCTTAAAAAACTCTCGGGTTTAAAGTGGATGAATTTAGAATTGAAGTAAAAAAATATGTCAGTTTTGCCACGTCAACATGGGCGTTGAGCACCAGTAGGGATGTGCCAAGTCATGGGGTGATTACGTGGCTTCCTGCCTAAAGAACGACGATAACGTTGTTTAGCTCCTGTCTTTAGCTTAGAGCTCAATGATGAAATTATGAAACAGTAAAATCGAGTTGAAACCATTTTTTCATCACGTGAATCCGTTAGTAATGTGGGTTTGAAGTGAACCAAATTTCATCGAAATGGTTTAAGTGTAGGTTTCAATCTTTGCAAATCATTTCAAAATGTCGTTAGAAAAAATTGAAAAGAAATTAATTTAAATTTTATTCGATTCAATTAAAACTAAACACATTTCAATTAAAAAGATACTTCCATATGATATCTTGTTTGCTCTCATTAAATTAAAATTTAATTTTCTCTCTTCTTATTAATCACACATTTTTCAATAAGATAATATTACACGTAAACTTAAACTTTTTTCCTTTTTTTCAATTATATATTTTTCAAAAAATTATTATTCTTCTCATTAAAATGTGAAATAATAAAGTCCAAACAAGGGCTTGGTTATAATCCAGTAAAACTCCATATCCAAATAGATAATTATTCATCACAATTAATTAATTAAATTATACTCAAATACTTATTAATCATCGCAACCGTAAATTCAAAATCCAGTATGAAGTGTTTAACAACTGTTGCCGAACCACATTTATCGACCGCCCATTAAATTATAATGTGTAAACAATTAAATCTAAATTTTAATTCAGTCTCCAACATTTTATTCCTTCTACTAATAATTTTTTTGGAATTTTGGCTAAATTTTCGGGTCCAGAAAATTTTATTTTTTAATAATTATTTGTTATATTTTATTGATAGTTTGTGTTGTTTTGTTCTTATTTGTGCCAAACTCCCTTAAATTTTTAGTATACATCAAATTTTTAATATAGATCACTTTTTGTTTATTTGCTTCTCAATTTCTTGGTCAAGTCACTTAATTAATTGATTATATTTTAACTTAATTTCTAAATTTTACTGTTAATTGCTAAAATGATTTGGTGACTTACTTAATTGGTCATTTGAAAATCTAACTAATTAGTCTTTCGACATATATATTTGATGAAAATTGAAAGCAAATAAGTATAAGATCGTCCGCCCAATTGTTCAAATTGTGTTAGCTATTCAAATATTCACAATTGTTTTTAAGTTTGTGTTCCCTAGTGATCAAATTTTTTATTCCTTTAGGAGTTATGCTAAGGAAGCTTATAAAAATTTCGAATATCTGGGAGTTACCTTAATTTAATAAGGAAAACTTATGAAGATACAATCGTCACTTCAAAGATGACGGGTTAAAAGATTATTAGTCTGCTCGTGTCAGCGGCTCATGATAGGTTCACTCGACTCATAACAGGTCAGCTCGACCCATGACAGTCAGCTTGACCTATGATGCGATCATCCAGAAACATCATCATTACAATCATGTCTCGTGAGTGATATCATCACTGTTCAGACGACCACTCCCAAAACAACCACTGACACTATGATGTCAACACCTCATTTTCAGTCAATCAAAAATCAACAATGCTTGCCTAGCTGATGATCATGACCTAGGCCGAAGCTACGACCATTGTACCATGATGACTTATTTGAGTGACTTCAACAACCAATCAACAATCTTAAATATAGGCGGTGACACGTTCTTTTAGGTAGGCACGATAGTTGATATAACGTCGGGCGACCAATTTTGATTTAGAGACCTACAAATAGAGGCAAACGATCATCTTTAAAGCCCGAACTTAATGTATTCTTTTCAATAAACTCCAAACTTCAATCAATGAAATTACACTTTAATTTTTCTAAATTCCAGCAATTCCAACAACCACCCTGCTAAATTTCTATCAATTTGGTCTAAATTTGTTATGTAATTTTTAGTTATCGACACAATTAAATATCTGTTTGAGCTTCATTTTCTAAAATTTTATTTTCTCTAAATTCATTTTTAACCACAAATTCTGCAATAAAATAATTTGTATGCAAACTTAAATTTTTTCCTTATTTTTAACCAAACATTTCAAGAAAATCGCTATTACATGACTCGTTTTCACCAAAAATGGGCTCAAACCATAGCCTAAAATATATTGCACCTACAAAAAATTTGGTGTTAATATGGTCATCTCTAATATTTTCTCTCCTTTTTTTGTTTCTTTTTTCATTTTTGCGTGTGTTCATGAGTAATTTATATTCACACCACAATCTTTATTTTTTAACCACCTTACACTTAATGCTATTCATCTTTACTCATTATAGAACTTATACCCCTAATGATTTTTCATATTATTCTTATTCTCAAACTTTTCATTAGTCAACACATTTTGTATTAAATAACATTTTTATATTTAAAAGTCCGATGAATTGGCATAAAACAACTTGTTTTTCAATCATTTTTTTAAAAAAAAAATGAAAATTGCGAAAAAATATTTTTCTCTTTTTTAAAGCATGAAAATAAAATATTTTGATATAAATCATACAAACCATTCAAATTAATAGGATATTGAAAATAAGAATTCAACGTAAAAAAAATTGATGAAAATAATTGTTATAATGAACAAAGATTGAAAAATTTAACTGTAATTAAAATGTGGTGTATCAAATAAAAGTTGTGGTGATAATATAACCCCCATTTGTTCATTGAGAAAAATATGATGGTTTATAAAAAAAAATATCCTTCAAATAAAAGCTTAGATGCAAGGCATAACAGAAAAAATAAAAAATAAAAATAAAAATCAAATTCTAGGGACTCATATACAACAAATTGAAAGTGAGGAAAATTTGAATGGGGGCCTAAGTCCTATATTTTACAAAGTTTGGTGACCTAAGTTTTCCGATTCCAGTAACAGGGTATTGCAACCGAAGAACTTGTTTTCGTCCGTCAATAGTTATAGAATTCGAATTTCCAACAATTTCTACAATTTTCGATACGATTTCCCTGCACCAGTGTAATTTCATAGCACTCACGGCCGTATTGAAGCTACAATTAAAGTGCGTAGCAGAAATTTGTGGTCATCGCCATGTCAATTGAGATCAAACTCTCCCGATTCAACCGTATCTATCGCTCCAATGTAATCGCTTTATCTCTTTCTTATCTATACGTCTGTCTACTTATTCACAGGTTGAATCGGAAATTATTGTTTTAGTTTTTTTAATTGCTTTTAGCTAATTAATTGTTTAAAAATGGAAGGAACCGTTAGAGGGCAAAATAATCATGAAGCTCACATCTTCAATTTCGTTCCAGTCCATCCGCCTTACTGTCAACGGCACAGTTAATTTGCAGGTTCTTAATTTTACTTCCATTTTCTAATTATATGCTTTTTTAATGTCTTTTTGTGTTTAGTTGAAAGAGAAGTCTGAGTTTAAGTAACGTCTTCAGATATTTTCGAATTTTGGTAAGATTAGGTTCGCGGAGGATCTGCTGGAGTAGTCGAGTCTTTCTATGGTGTCATCAAACCTATTCCTATTGTGTAAGCCGCTTCATTTATTTGTACGCTATAATTTCTTTGCTTGACACGGGCTATAGTTCTTACTGTTCTTTCTGTTTGACTTAATCATTTCCTTTTTGGGTCTTTACATTATTGCGATTGCATTCATTGAAGATAATCAAATAATTTGGTAATGTGTTGTAACTTTTGTTTAACTGCCACTTTCCACGCTAAGTAGAGTATTTTCGGGTGTGAAAATGGTTTAGCTAAGATCAAATCCCATGATCCTCTCCTAGCATATAACATGCAATGCATGATCAAGATTCTATGATCATCTCCTTAGCAAAAATTCCTTACAATGCAACCAATCCCTCGATACCATCGTAGCATATTATATTTTACGTATTGAATGAGATGTGCTAGGAGAGGATTATGTGTAGAGTTGAAACACTAGGAAATATTTTATTAGACCTAAGAGCTTTACACTGCACCTCACTGGCACTCACTTGTGTTTATATCTCTCAGCGACTAAAACATCCACCATTCTCACATTTGAACCACATTAATGTCAGTGCATTGGATGAGTATACTACCTCTAGAAAAACATACACCATTCTCCCATTTGCACCACATTAATGTCAGTGCATTGGATGAGTATACTACCTCTAGACAGATCCAGCATGGTGGTGGAAGAGGTCCGAGAAGTAACAGTCCGGATTGGACTGGATTCTTTATATGGTGGTAGCCTTCACCGTAGTATTAGGTCTTGCAATAGGAGAGATTCATGGATAATGAGATATGCTGTGGAAGGATTATGGGATTTCTTGATCTTGCATGAGATATGGTCTGGCATTGGAGAGAATCATGGAAGTCTCTGACTTGCTAGGAGAGGATCATTGGTTCTTGATCTTGCACTTAATAGATATGCTAAGAGTCATGAGATTTAGATTTATGTTTTGGTTCATGTCATGACCCGTCACGGTGGTGAATGAGATTTGATGAACTCCCAGCTTTTATCAAAAGTTGTTAAATTTGATGAGATGAGCTTATGGCAGTTTCTATGTAACTTCCTCAAGAACAAAATGATAATCCAATTCCATGTGCTCTGCTTTTGCATTGAACATTGGAGTGATTGAGAGACAAAATCTATATTATCACAAAGACTTTAAGGTCATTGTGAGAGTATAAACCCATGACCCTGTAGAAGGAAGCTAAACCATGTGATTATGACAGCTTTTGAGGCAAGGGATCTGCATTCAGTTTTAGTAGTGGAATCGACAACACTAGATTGCTCCTTTAACGACCACGTAATTACCACAATACTACTGGTTTTGAAACGCCCTGAATTCTAGCAACCAGAAGCGTTACCAAACATGAATTTCTTAACGTGCTTAAAAAAAATTCAATATAATGACATATTCAATAAAACTGAACAACC